CCGAATCGCCGCGAGATCGGTCCAAGAGGCCAAAGATGGCGGCAAGACGGCCCAAGAAGCCTTCCAGGCGCCCCAGGAGAGGCCAAAGCGCCTTCCCAAGAGGGCCCTGGGAGGCCCAAATCACGGATTTCCCAAGAATGTGTTTTATGTTTTGGGGGTCCTCGACGGTTCGAGCTTCCGACGCTCCAAGACGGCCCAAGAGGTCCCCAAGATCGCCCCACAGGGATCCAGGACGGACCGAAAGGCGCACAAGACGGCCCAAGGGGCCCAAAGACAGCCCCAAGAAGGGTCCAAGAGGGGGAACACGAACTGAAAATCAGAGCCTTTCGCCCCGCTGGGGCCCCAGGGAGGTCCCAAGGAGGCTCCAAGAGGCCACCAGGAGGCCTCAAGAGACCCCCGAGAGGTCTCAAGAGACCCCCAAGAGGCCCCAAGAGACCCCCCAAAAGGCCTCCTCCCGGCCCCCAATAGACCTCAGAAAACGGCCCCTGAGAGGCCCCAGAGAGGCCTCCCGCGAACTCCGAACGCACATCTTAGAGGCCCATCTACGACCTGCAACCCAGGCACAGTTGCGGGATGGGCCGAAGGCCACTGGAGACGTGATCAGCACGAGGCTGCAACGAGGCCGCAACGGGAGGCAACGCGGCGAAACCTCGCTAGACCGACCCGGCGCACGCAGCGGCCACTGGGCAACAACGGGCGGGATGGCAGTGGGGCCCTCTGGATTCTACACCAGGGAACCGGATTGTGCTCCGATGGCTCCCTATGGAACCGAGTCCATGGAGTCCGATTGATCAGATTGGAGCGCAGTGGAGTCCAACACGTCCAAATGGAGTTCAAGGGTGTTCAATCGGAGACATACGGAACACAATCGAATGATATGTCGACCCTCTTGTGGGACGTTTGAGAATGCAATGAAGGTGGGGAGGATGGGGAGTATCACGAGGAGAAACCAGAGCAGCAGCAGCCGAATAAGAGGAAGCAGGGGAGAAGTTAGTGGAGGAGGAAAGAAAAGACGAGGAGGAGATATAGAGGGAAGGCGGACATGATGACGAGGGGACAGAGAGGAAAGGAGGAGGAGGACATGGAAGAGGAGGAGGAGAATGAGGACAAGGGACAACCCAGGGGACATCACTGATGCACAATACATCCTCCCGCCCCGAGTCCCTTCCTCAGAAGTTCCTGGGAGTACTCCGTCTCCACCGGGGGGAACGCCCCCTCAGAATGACCAGCGCATGGTGGGGCCTGCTACGCGGGCGGGGCCCCGTCCTGTAACGGATCTGGACTTCGTCGTTCTAGGTGAACGCAACGCAAGGAGGTACGATGATAAAGCTCAAGGCGCTATTCAGCGGCAGCCCCGTCTTGAAAAGGACCAGATCAGCCCTTCACCCGCTCGAGAGATTTAGCAATGCCAGAGTCCTGGTCCTGGATTGTGGGGAGACTTCACGCGAGAGCCCCGTTGTACAAAAAGGAGCCGTGCTCCATCCGCGCAACGGTTGCACGACCCCATGGTTCGGGCCGCAGAAGTCCCAATCGCGTTTTCAGCGCGAGCAGGGCCTCCATACATGTGGATGCAAGAAGCTTGTAAGAAGAAGGCGCGCGGTGCTGAGGCGAGAGCCGCACCGGAGAAACTGTCTGCCATCCACCCTGTACCCGTCGGTACATAAGCGTAGCTTCAAGAAACAAGTAGTGTTGAACTCTTACGGGAAACGCCCTGTCCGCCCTGCGGACACGTGTGGTGGTGCGACTGGGAGCGTGATTCAAAAGGAAGGAGGGTTGAGGAGGAGAAGGAGGAGGAGGAGGAGGAGGAGGAGGAGGAGGAGGAGGATTGGGGTCACGACATGCGGCGTGAGTTCAGGTCTCTTCTTTGTGATTAAGACGCTGCGATCTGATGACAATGGCTTGCGTAGCGTGAAGAAACAAACTGGGACCGTGAGGGGGAGGCCTGGAGAACAGGAAGAGCAACAGCGCTGCCGACCGAGAAAAGGGCGAAGGGCCCGCGGTCACTGACATCCGCCAATATGATATTCCCAATCCGTGGCCCCTGAGGTCCCGACCCCTTTCCCTGAGGTAAATCGGCTTGCAGCCCGGATCTATTCATGGACCCGCTGGGGCCCAGAAGGCCAAGAGGCTCCCCGAGGCACCCAAGACGCTCCAAGAGGCCTCCGGGACCGCCAGAGAGGCCCGCAAGAGACGCTCCAGGAGGCCTCCAGAAGGCTTCCAGGAAACAGCCGAGACTCTGAGAGGCAACGCCTGTCTGGGTCGGTTGCCGGCGGGTCCCGCACTGCCAGCATGAGTCACGCAGCGGTGGGCCCTCTTGAGGCCCCCCCAAAAACATCGCTTCTGGATGGGCTGGTGGGGATACTTTTTCGCTCGCGAGCGTCGCGGTCCACCCGCGCGCCGTCAAGAGAAGGGGCAGCCGCGCCAAGCTCTAAATTACGGCCTAAGAAGGAGCCCAAGCGACCAGAGCGCGCTAGCTGGTGGGGATACGCGAAGCGTCAAGAGTTGAAGCCAATCTGGGGGGCAACGATAGGGGGGGACTGGCCTAGGGGGGGGTGCATCGACCTGGGATCGCCGATGCGTCGCCGATAAATCGGCGATAGGCCTCCGATAGTGACTCCGCACCTTCCTGGGCCGGTTGGGGCTTTCGGGCCCCTATCAGCGATCAATGGGCGATTGGGGGTCAATCAATCCGCCCCTGTGCCCATACCCCCCTATCTTGAGCAGGGACCGACCGTGCCAGCATTTAGATAGGCCTACCACCACATGTTCTTTGAACATGCGCCCACTGCGTTAACACAAGGCAGACCCAACCAGAACTGTTCTTGGAACATTCCGTGCAGACCACAGAGGGTTCTTAGAACATTCGTTGGTGGGCCTATCAGCGAGCCAAGACGCTTCGCCACTGCTTGACTATCGTTGCCCCCGACAAGCGCCCAAACTGAGGACATTTTTGGGGCGACCGGGCACATGGCCCGGCCGGCCCGCGGCCGCGGGGCTGCCGCGGGAGTCCCCCCCGGACCGGACCGGACTGGACCAGGCGCACGGGATCGGGGCCTCCTGTGGATGGGGTCGGGAGTGCATCCAGTGTGCTGCGATGAGGTCGGGCATGCCCTCCGACAGGCGGATGTTAGAAGAAAGTCCAGGCGGAATGAAACAGTTGTCATTGTTGTTCTTATCATTACGGTTATTAGCACTCGTAGGATTATTACGGCGCATACGATTATCAATAGTACTACTAAGTGGAATTATGAGTAGTTGCGTTACTACATTATAGCATCGTATAGAATAACCTCTGATACTAGATTGCAATATGGTAAATGGTTTCGTTAAAATGGTATGTATGCTGATGTGTACCATGCTCTATTATGATGTATGGTCTATAAATATAATTCCCTACCTAGGCTCTGCCTAGAAGGGTTCTTACCCTCTTTCTTAAAAGGGCCGGGCAGTGGGGCTCGCCCCAGGCGGTTCCCCCGGTATCCGCCCCGCGGTTTCTCCAGTTACGTCCCCTTAGCTTAGCGTTGCTTATATCATATTAGCTTAGCTTATGTCATCTTAGCTTAGCTTAGCTTCATCTTAGCTCAGGTTGATATTAGCTTAGCTTACCTTCATCTTAGCTTCGCTGAGCTTTAGCATAGCAGAGCACAGCATAGCATAGCATAGCAAATCATAGCGCAGCACAACATATCATAGCATAGCCCAGCATAGCATAGCACAGCACAGCACAGCATAGCACAGCGCAGCATAGCATAGCATCGCATAGCATAGCCCAGCATAGCATAGCAGCAAAGCAAAGCAAAGCAACAACAAGAACAAAGCAAAGGAAAGGCAAAGCAAAAGCAATGTGCGACAGATGCCGAGCTAGGCTCGATGGGTGCAATTCCCTACCTAGGCTCTGCCTAGAGGGTTAGCTTAGCTTAGCTCTTAGCTTAGCAGCATAGCGCAGCGCTGCATTAACATAGCATAGCATAGCATAGCATAGCCAAGCATAGCATAGCATAGCATAGCATAGCATAGCGCAGCATGGCATAGCATGGCATAGCATAGCGCAGCTTATTCTAGCATGGCATAGCATAGCTTAGCATAGCACAGCGCAGCATGGCACAGCATAGCATAGCATAGCATAGCATAGCGCAGCATAGCATAACATAGCATAGCATAGCATAGCGCAGCATAGCATGGCATACCATAGCATAGCATAGCAACTAGTGTTGCTTTCCTAGGGGCTCCAACTTCTAGGTAGGGTCGCACTGTGGTAAGTTTTATCACAGGTAATATCATATAGTATCAGATAGCAGTATTGTATACTATGACGTTTCACAAAACGACCACGAAGCATCGTCGGAACGAAGGGTCGTCTCTGGCAAAACGGCAAGCCCCGGCCACGCGGAGGCTCCCGGCGCATGCGTCCAATGGGAGCGGCCCGAAGGCCACAGAGCCCCTCCCTGGGCCACAGATGGGGTCCTCACTGCAGCGCGCCCTGCCTGCAGGTGGGGTCGGGCGATCGCGCAGCATCGGCGATGCATAGGCGATGCATCGGCGATGCATCGGCGGTGCATTGGCGATGCACTGGCGACGTCGGCGATGCATCGGCACCGTCGGTGCGGAGAGGATCGGGCTGACCATGCGACCGCCTTCTTATTCACTGCTTGGCCGATCGGCGCGCGGGCCCTCGCACCCCCCCTCCACCCCCCCCATGGAGTAGATCTTGGCTGCTTTTGGCGCTTGTTTCAAGCAGGTGGAGTCCCCCCCACAGGACGCGCTGCTGCGCACAGTCGCGCTCAGCAGAGGTCTGGAGCCAGACCCCCCCCCCGCCGAGTGTCGAACCGCCGAGTAAGAACACGTTCGCCATCGAGCCGCATCGCCAATGCATTGTCGATGCGGCGCGACCCTCCGACTCCACGGGGGGTGGACCCGATCGGAGGCGCGGGGCGCGGGCCCGCGCTGAAGAGCCCGCGATTGAGGTACGCTGGCCGGCTGGCCGGCCGCGCTGTGGAGTCCTGCTGGCCCTCCTGCGGCTTGGCCGCCGGCTGGACGTTCTCCTCCTGGTTGGGACAGAGCATGCCAACACTATGCATCCTCCTTGGAGGCGTGCGTCCGACCCGAACACATAGTGGAACGATCTTGTGGTGTATCGTTTCCCCAGCTGGTAGGGTCAGAAAGCGCCCACCACCGAGCATGTACTAGAATTGTTCCTGGCGCGCGCGTCTCCCTTCTGGGGGCGACGCACACATACAGTGGAAACCCATGCCAATAGACACCATGATTGCCTCCAGGGTGCCCTGGGTATCTTGGACTTCGGTGATTTTGCTACGGAAAGCGTAGCGTTCCCACAATGGACGTCCTGGGGTCTCAGGGTTGGCTGTCTTGTGGAAGGTTTCTTGTGGTCGAGCTCCTACTGCAATATCAGTATGCTTGGGCGACGCCGGCTTCTCCCCTGGGCGAGGCCACCCGAATGGCCGGAGCAGGCGGGGTCCGGAGCCCAGGCATGCTCGCGCCGCTGCACAAGCACGACGGGACGTGCTTCTAGCATTAAGTCGGGCGTGTCCCCCTACAAGGGGATGTTCGACGAAAATATTCAAAAAATATTCAAACAACACGCAACAGATGCCCAAAAATACTCAAAACATATTCCCCAGACTATTTTTTGACTCTTTTTGAATATTCCCCCTGTAGAGGGACATGCCCGACTTAACACTCAGAGGACGGCGCAGGCTGAAGTGCCGGTCCTGGGCGAAGGGTCTCGGCCTCTGGGGCCCAGACTGTGGGACAAAGTAAACGAAGATCGCGGGTCTGGGGCGGACCGTGGGCGAGCGCGCTCCACTGCTCGCAGAGTGGCTGCTCGCAGATGGCCTGGACCCGCCGCGGGGGATTTGCGATCCATTACATCGAGGCGCACAGGTGATGTTCGGACGTTTGCACATAGGCACGTTGCGTGTAGTGGAACGCGCTCGGTGAGACTGGGCAGGTGGAACGGGGTCCAGAAGACGGCGCCGCATGGCCCCTAGGTCCCCGCGGGGGCCCTTGCCGGGCCCCCATGTGTGGGCCCGTCATGATGGGCCGATTGTCCACGACCACGACCACGGATAGGAGAGGGGAGAGGCGGATGGGCGAGGGGAGAAGGAGGAGGAGGTGGAGGAAAAAGAGCAAGAGGAGGAGGAGGAGGAGAAGGAGAAGGAGGAGGAGGAGGAGGAAAAGGAGGAGGAGGAGGAGGAGGACGGGGCGGGGGAGGGGAAAGATGGCCTCCCCGTCCACCCTTCTCCCCCGTCCTGCCTGAGGCAGTGGTGGTGGAACATTTGTCCATCACGTCAGGGGGCGACTCGGGGCCCAGGCCCCCGCCGCCGTCAATTTTTCATAACGTTCGCCCCCCAGAGGTCTCGACCCCTTCCCTGGGACCGGCTTTTCATCCTGAGTCGTTTTCTGACGGTCCGGAGGGCCGGTGAGGGCCGCCAGAGGCCGAAAATAGCAAAAAACCCACCGCTGTGATTTCTTCGTAACTCGAGGGGGTCTGGGGGCGAAGGGCCTGTCACGGCACAGGGCCGAGACCTCTGGCGGCCCTTGCAGCGACGTGCCTTGAGGGGCAACGATAGGGGGGGACTGGCATAGGGGGGGAATGCATCGACCTGGCATCGGCGATACATCGCCGATAGATCAGCGATAGGCCTTCGATAGCGAATCCGCACCTTCTTGGGCAGGTTGGGGCTATCGGGGCCCTCTCGGCGATCAATGAGCGATTGGCGGTCGATGCATCCCCCCCTATCCCTGTCCCCCCCTATCGTTGCCCCCGATTTTTCCACAACGTCGACCCCCGAAAAGCTGGACCCCCTCCCCAGGACCGGTTTGTCATCCCCAGTCGGTTCTTGACGGCCCCGAGGCCCAGACGCCGAAAGTACCGGAAACCTCCTGCCGCGCTTCTCTCCGCAACTCGAGGGGTTCTGGAATCGGAATCCTCCCTCTCCAGCCACACTTGGGCGGCCAGGTGTCCTCGGGCCCCTGGCCGGGCTCCCGCATCGCCTTGGCCTCGTCCATCTGCTCGGCCGGGCCCACCTTCTGGCCCTGCCTGGCGGCGCGCGGCTCGCTCCCGCTGGGCCTCTCGGCCGACGCGGCCCGCTCGGTCTTGCCGCCCGTGTCCGCCCCCTCGGACTTGCGGGGCGTGTCTGCCTTCTCGCCCTTGTCGGTCTTGTCGGGCTTTCCGACCTTCTGAGGCTTGCTGGCCTTCTCGGCAATCTCGGCCTTCCCCGGCTTGCTGGCCTTGTCCTTCGCTTTCTTCTCTGTCTTCTCTGCCTTCTCGGCTCTCCCTGTCGTTCTGTCTTTGTCTGCTTTGCTGGCCTTGCCAACTTTTGGTGCCTTCACGACCGCGCCTGGCCCGGGTGACTTCTCCGCCTTGCCCGTCTTGTCCGCTTTCTGCGCCTTCCCTGCCTTCTTAGTCTTCTTGTCTGCCACTTCCACCTTGGCAGCCTTTGCCTTCGTCGCAGCTCGGTCCTTAGACTCCTTCTCGCTCTTCTGCGCCTTCCCCGTCTTGCTCTTCCCCTTTGCCTCAGACTTCGCCTTGTCTCTCTTCTCCTTCGCCTTGCGGGCGCGCTGCGACCAGATAAAGACAACCCCGTCTGATAAGGACGCACGGTAAGGATGCAAGGCACGTGGAAGGCCATGGCGACACTCGGCGGGCGGGGCGGGGCCAGCGAAAGCAGCCAAGGATGGGTCGAACGGGCAAGGATGCAAGGGTGACCTCGGTGGAAAACTGCACTGCCCATCCTAACGTACTATGCGGGTTGACTGTAACCAGACCAACACACACACACCGACCCCCCGACGTCGCAATAAAAAAAGATCGTGTGATGAAGACGTCGCACACCACCGCTACCATGGGTAGGACGAAGGGGGAAGGAAGAATGGGGAGGTCCTCCTCCTCCTCCTCCTCCTCCTCCTCCCCCTCCTCCTCCTCCTCCTCCTCCTCCTCCTCCTCCTCCTCATACTCATCCCTCTCCTACCCGTGGTCGTGGTGGTGGAAGCATCGGCTCACCGTCGTGGGCGTGCGGAGCTCTCGGCCCCACCTCGGGGCCGGAGAGCCGTCTTCGCCGGCCGGGCTGCCGAGGCGCCCGCCTCCAGACGCCCCACGAGGAGGAGGAGGAGGAGGAGGATGAGGATGAGGATGAGGAGGATGAGGAGGATGAGGATGAGGAGGAGGAGGAGGAGGAGGAGGAGGAGGAGGAGGAGGAGGGCAGCAGCGCCGGTCGGGACTTGTGCGCTGCCCTCCGCGACGCCCAGGGGGGGTCGGCACGCCTTCGCTCAAGGTCCATCCCTGGCCCCTCCCGCATACACGGTAGGGTCTGGCATGCCCCCCTGCAGGCGGATTTGGGGCGAACAATAAAACATGCTCGGGTAATCAATACTTGAAACATGATCGACAAATCTTCCCGGACTATGTTTTGATATCTTTTTTGAAAAAATCCTCCTGTAGAGGGACACGCCCGACTTGAATATACGGCCGGACCTGGAACAGAAGCACATCCTTCTTCCAGAACAATGGGGCCCTCCGCCCGCCACAGCACCCCGAACCATCAGATCACTCGAGAGCACCCTCCCCCAGGATGCACAAGAACATCCACAGAGGCCTTCCAGATGGGGTCCGAGTAGATGGGGTCGGAGGATCGTGCCACATCGTCAATACACCGGCGATGTATCGGCGAGGTATCGGCGATGCACTAGCGATGCATCGGCGACATCGGCGATGCGCCAGCATGGAGAAAATCGGGCTCCATATCGAGCTGTGCATCGGCGATGCGGCGCGATCCTCCGACCCCATCTACTCGGACCCCATCTGCGAGGCCTAGAAACATCCAACAGACACGAAAAATTAGGTCGGGCATGTCCCCTACAAGTGGATTTCAGGGGGAAACCGAAGAATAAACCAGACATGCCAAACATAGCAGAAAATAATAGACAAATCGCCCCATACTACATATCTTATATTATTTTGGGATATTTCGGCGGTGGAAACCCCTCCCTTCAGCAAACCTCCATTGAGTGAAAACGGCCAAAGACCGAAACCGACGGGCCTGGACCCGCAAAAATGACGGCCGCGACGCCCTCTCGCGAACCGAAAACGGCCAATTCACTAATCAACGTGTCAGGGTAGGAGGTCTATCCACCTCCGAATCTTCCCCCTGGAGAAGGACACGCCCGACGTGAGTGCAGCCTCCCCGAACCGGCCCCGATCTCACGCCTCGGTCCGACCGCACCACCCCCGGGCTGCTTTTGCTGCGGGCTGCGCCCCCCCCCCCTCCCCAGTGCCCGCCGCCGGCCGCTCGTCCTGGAGGCGCTGGGACCCACAAGCCCGTCCAGGTACGTCGAAGTAACACCCCTTCGAATCTTCCCCTCCTCCCTGCTGCTCCTCCTCCCCCCTCCTCCTCCTCCTCCGCCTCCCCTCCTCCTCCTCCTCCTCCACCTCCTCCTCCTCCTCCTCCTCCTCCTTCTCCTCCACCTCCATCCTCCTCCCTCTCCTCCTCCTCCTCCTCCTCCTCCTCCTCCCTCCTCCTCCTCCTCCTCCTCCACCCCCTCGAATCTCCCCCTCCTCCTCCTCTTGCTCCTCCTCCTCCTCCTCCTCCTCCTCCTCCTCCTCCTTCTCCTCCTCCTCCTCCATCCTCCATCCTCCATCCTCCATCCTCCCTCCTCCTCCCTCTCCTCCTCCTCCTCCTCCTCCTCCTCCTCCTCCTCCTCCCTCCTCCTCCACCCCCTCGAATCTCCCCCCTCCTCCTCCTCCTGCTCCTTCTCCTCCTCCTCCTCCTCCTCCTCCTCCCCCTCCTCTCCTCCTCCTCCTCCTCCTCCTCCTCCTCCTCCTCCTCCCTCCTCCTCCTCCTCCTCCTCCTCCTCCTCCTCCCTCCTCCTCCTCCTCCTCTTCCTCCTCTACCCTCTGGAATCTCCCCCTCCTCCTCCTCCTCCTCCTCCTCCTCCTCCTCCTCCTTCCGAGATGCGTCTTGACTGGTGCTCGAACGGGAATCCAGCCGTGGCGACGAGACGCTCCCCCGAGAAGCCCGACAACGCCCAGGTACTGCGAGGCCCAGCTCTCGATGCGCGCATCTCCACACGGCGACACGCGCAGGGAGCGGCGCGAGGAACGGGCGCTTCTGGCAAGGCGGGGGGTTCTGAAGAGGAGCGAGAGCTTCCTCAGCAGCTCTCCGGGCTTCCGAGGAAAGCCTCCTGGGAATCCTCTGGGCCCCTTCAGGACGACCCTGCCTCCCAAGAACCCCCCCCTTCTCTAGGAGACGAACGGCACCATGATATGATTGGCTCAGGATGCGTTCCAGGCATCCCGGTGTATGAAGCGGCCCTCGTTCGTGCAGCCCGCGTGGAAGATCGAGAACTCTTGGGAGTCCTGGAACGTATCGTTACCAGCTCTCGCTCCTCTGACTCTCAGAAGACCACCCACCCTCTCGTTCTGGAGAGGGCCTCGACTCCCGCGCACCTTGGTGCCTTCGGCCGAAGCCCGCGGCCCGCCGTCGACCTGCACTGGCAGGCATTTTGTTCCATGAGCCTCGTCGAATGATGCCGTGCTGTACGACACGTGACCGATACGAGGCGTCCGCGGCGCCGAGGCTACATTTGGGGCATCCGTGGATCCCCAGCGACACCTCGCCGCACAGGCCATGTGGGGGAACGAAGCAGGGCCCGCCTGAGACAGGCCCGAGACAGCAGGCATCCGCCCACATCTTCGCCTCCCGCTCAGCCGGCACAGCGGCCGGCAAGGGAATCGGCCGAGTGCAGCGCCAAAACGCGTGAGGCATGCATCTTTTGTTGTTACCTGCGGCTCCCCCGTGGAATCCTTGCGAAACGAAACGCGCATCGTGTCCGAACTCCGCCAGATCGATCCTCTTCCCAAGAACTCGGGCGTCGTGGTGCTTTCGCAGCGTGGGCCCGGAGGAAGTCTGGGCCCCTGTCCTGAAACAGGTTTTCATCCCGAGGGGTCTCTGTTGACGGCCCCGGTGCCCAGCAACGAGGAACACCCGAGGCCGAAAACTCCGCACGGCCTCCTGAAGTCGCGATCGTATGAATTCGAGTGGGGGGGCCCAAGACCACACAAAGAAGTATACGCAAATCTCAGGATGTCCGGCATTTGTCCAGACATGTTGTTTAATCTTCGCTGCCACCTGCGCTTCACATATCTTCCCCCATGTCAAGGGAATCGACGTTTAGTTGTGTCTCTGTGTGCATGTGTTTCCCCTCCTGAGATTGTTGCTCCGCGACGCGAGGAGGTCTGGGCCATGCTTCATGGCAAGCAGCCCGAGAAGCGAAGCCCTTTAGTCAACGACGCACCTAAGGAAAGAAATTACAGTGCATGTCGGGGCTGTTGAGTGAACGACCAGGGCTGCTCAGCCAGCTCAGGCTACGGGCGTGGGAGTGGAACTTGCTCCCGTGCATCGGGTGCGCGCTCACGAAGGGTGCAATGAACGGGGGGTGAGAACACGTGCGCCTTCCGGGCACCTCTGTAAGGTCAGCAGTGGCAGTCCAGCAGCCGCTCAGGACCCCCCAAGGATCACTGCTCTGCAATCCCAGACCCCCGACGTCATGATGTTTTCACGACGTCGATCCCCAGAGGTCCCGACCCATTCCCCGGGACCTTTTTTTCATCCGGAGTCGTTCTTGACGGTCCCGAAGATCGGGGAGATCCCCCTGAGGCTGAAAAGAGTGAAAACCCCGGCGTCGTGAGTTCTTCATAACTCTCGTGTCGGGCGAAAGGGGGGGATAGCAAAGGGGGGGGTTGAGAATCAGCTCACGTAGCTGATTTTCCCGGCGCCTCCCGGCGCCGGGAGGCGGCTATGTATCGAGAAATGGGCACCTCGGAGGGCCGAAACCAGCTGCATGCAGCAGATTTCGTAACCCCCCCTTTCCCAATCCCCCCCTTTCGTTCGGCCCGAAACTCGAGGGGTCTGGGATCCTCGACTCCCCCCCCCCCCCTTCTTGCCCCCCGCTGCCGCCCGCCCGGCTGTCACCGCCGGGAGCTCCTGCGTGGCCCGTCGCGGCGGCGGCGCAGCAGCGACGCGCCGTGCCCTTTGGAGCGGGGGGCGTCTCGCTCCGCGCCGCGGGGCCTGGCCGTCGCCCGGACGTCCTTTCCCTGTGTTCTTGCTCGGTCTCGTGCGCACTCCAGGTTTCGTAACAAAGAGAGGGGGGTCTCACTTCGGGGGGGGGTCTCTTCCAGGCTATCTTGGAGGGCCTGGGGGGGTCTGGGGACCATGTTTTCGAGGGTTCTCCCACGGGGAGGGGGGGTCTGAGATGGCTTGTCTTGGAGGGTCCAGACCCCCTCCCTTTGATTACGAAATCTGGAGTAGTTGTTTCGCAGGATGATCCAGGATGCTCCTTCACACCCCCGCCGAGACAAAGTGCCCACGTCCGAGAGCGATACTAAAAGGGGCAGCAGGCCGGGGGACGTTGCTCGGCGCCTCGACGCCCTGGGGGACGAGGGCCGCGGACGGCGCGTCGCGCCAGAGGGGCGCAGGGAGGGCCGCCACCCGCCCGCGGAGCGACGCGCCGAGCCAGAGCTCCCGACGCCCACAGGGCACTTCCGGGGCCACGCTCCCTGCTATTCTCGGTGCCCCCACGCTCCAGACTGCCCCCAGGGGGCACTTGTCCTGCCATCCTCGGCTCCCCCACGCCAGACCGCCCCCAGGGGGCACTGGTCCTGCCAGCAGGGGCGCCCAAAACCTCGCGCCTGGGCGCTGCGCGGAGCGCGGAGCACTTCGCGCTCTCTCGCGCCGCCCCCCAAAGGGAGAAGAGGAGGGCGAGGAGGAATCGGAGCCGGACCGCGAAGCGCGAATAACTTGGCGCCCTCGAGGGCGCCCCTGTGCAATGCTCGGTCTCCCCAAGTTGCCTGCGCCCCCCCCCCCTCTGGCTGCCGCCCGCCCGATGAAAACATTCCTCCTTCCTTCCCGCATCGCTTGCGCCTCCCCGCCGGCCGCGGCACTGGCGCTCGAGGACGCGCGGGACCGCTTGGCGGGATGGCTAGCTGCGGCCTCCCAGGGGTGACGACGAGGACGACGAAGCCGACGACGACGACGAAGACGACACTGATGGAGACGACGGCGGCTGAGTCGACGACGACGAGGTGGATGGAGGGGCTCGTTGTGAACGGCATCGTCGTCGTCGTAGTCGTGCGCGTCGCCATCGCCATCAGCGTCGTCGGGATTAGAGTCGACGGCGGCGGCTGAGTCGATGTTGATGTCGATGTCGATGTCGATGTCGATGTCGTCGTCGTCGATGTCGTCGTCGTCGTCGTCGTCGTCGTCGTCGTCGTCGTCGTCGTCGTCGTCGTCGTCAACGTCGTCGTCGTCGTGGTCGTCGTCGTCGTCGACGTAGTCGTCGTAATTGTCGTATTCGTCGTCGCCAGCGTCATCGGCGGCGGGATCAGCGACGGTGTTGTTCGGCGTCGTCGTCGTCGTCGTCATCGTCAATGACGTCGTCAGCGTCGCCGTCGTCTTCATCGGCGACGTCTTCGGCGTCGTCGTCGTCGTTGTCGTCATCCGTCGTCGTCATGGTGAGCCGGGTCGTCAACTTGGCATGAAGGAAAGGTGATCTGGAGGAAACTGAACTTTGAACCTTGGGGCTTGCCCTGGGCCCAATGTCTCTTCGTCCCGGGCAGGGAAACCCGAAATCGACGAGACACTATGAGGAACCCTCTCCGCCAGGGCCCTTCTCTATGCTGACTCGTCGTCGTCGACCTCGTCGTCGTCGTCGTCGTCGACGTCGTCGACGTCGTCGTCGTCGACGTCGTCGACGTCGTCGTCGTCGACGTCGTCGTCGCCGTCGCCGTCGACGTCGTCCCCGTCATCGGCGCGGTCGTCGTCGCCAGAGCGACTACGACCATGTCGACAACGGCGCTGACGACGGCGGCGGCGGCGACGGCGACGACGATGGCGACGGCGACAGCTACGACGACAAAGGCGACGAGGCTCGGAGGCTCGTCGAGATCATCGTCGATGAACTGCCCCGATACGCAACACGCAACACGCAGCGTGCAAATACGGAGCCCAACACGTGGACTGAACACGCAGGTCTGGCGCGATGCGTTCGCCACCACGCGGGCCAACACGTGCCGGGCCAACACGAAGCATGTCGGCACGGGCGCGTTGAAGACGGCACGTGTTGCGTTCTCGCGGTGCGTTTCAACAACTGGGGAAACCAAAAGGTACTGATACCGCGACTCCCCAGACCCCTTCCGGGGTGCGTTCTCACTAGAAATTCGAAGCGAATCCAGCGGTAGCGACAAGGGCCTCCCAGGAGGCCCAAGAAGGCGAAAACAAGGGAAGGGTAGTTGTATGGGTACCCCAGCTCCTTCGATAAGCCCCTCCCCCCGTGCCAACCTGTCCGACGCCCCTTGCCCGCCCCCCCACGCGCCCCAAACCCACCCCCTCTCGCTCCCCAACCTCCCCACGCCCCCCGACGGACCGCGGTTTCCCACCCCCCCACGCGATCCACCCCCCCACGCTGATTGAGAGACCTAGAGTACCCTTCCCTCCTCTGAAACACGGGCGTCTCAGGACAGCGAAGCCTTGGCATCGCTCGGACGTGTGCACTTCTCCTTCTGGAGGAGTATCCTTGATCATGTGGCGAAAAAAGCCACGCACGAAGCCGAAAAAAGCACAGGGAAGGGACGTCCGAGCGATGGCCCGAAGCGCCGTCGTGGTCGTCAGCGCCACCCGCGGCGCCGCCGTCGGCCGACGGCCTGCTCGCTGCCGCTGCTGGGCCGCCGCTTGGCGGAGCGCCTGCGCTTGGCCCCGGGCCGGGAGCGGCTCCTGCGCGCGGTCGGGCGCGCGCGGGCGCTCCTCTGCCGCCCCCTCCGCCTGCGCCCCCGCCTCCCTTCCGAGTCCTCCTCCTCCGGGTCCTCCCCCTCCTCGCCGCTCCTTCCCCCTCCTCCTCCTTCTCCTCCTCCTCCTCCTCCGCCTCCTCCTCCTCCTGGTCCTCCTCCTCCTCCTCCTGCTCCTCCTCCTCCTGCACCCTCCTCCTGGTGTTCCCCCTCCGCCCGCCTGCCCCTCCGCCTCCTCCCGGCCCTCCTCAAAAAAAAAAAGAAAAAAAAAAACAAACCGCCATACCTCCCGGCCCTCCTCCCGGCCCTCCTCCTCCTCCTCCTCCTCCTCCTCCTCCTCCTCCTCCTCCTCGTCCTGGGGAATCGAACTCTATACGCCGACGCTTCTTCCGGCCCTGCATTGGAAGTTGCACTGGATAGCGGATCCCGGTGTGTACGGGGCCCTGGTGTATACATGCTTCATTGCTTCCCCAGGAGAGCGGGGAAACAAAGGATGCACCACACCACCCCAGCGTCGTCCTCGACCCTCAAGGACTCCTGGAAGGTAAAAACAGACCGCCACTGGCAGCGTATACTCTCCCGTTTCCGCTGTCCTCAGCTCCAGTTCCCCCGCTGCCGAGGGTGGCCCCGCTAATACTGCCCTCGTCAAACTTGACCTCAAACATGGCGACCACGCCGCTGCGATGTCGGCGCGCCCTTCAAGGTCGACAGACGCCCCTCCAATGTCGGGGTCGGGGCAAAAAGTGTCTGACCGGGAACGACTCGGAAGTTCGATGATGACCGACGTTGGAGGGGCGGCGCATACAGGTACCTCGCAGTCATCGCTGCTCTGTCCAGTATCTCCCCACAGACAGTTCGGCCACGCAAGACGTGTTCGAGGTCAAGTTTGACGAGGGCTGTAGAAACTCGTATGCCTGCCAGTGCAAAGCCTGAGCTGGCACATGCCACGTGCTGGCACGAGTGCAGAGGACACGTTAGAACGGAAGGGCACGGTTGCATCTTGCACCTGGGAGGACTGCCCCGGAGTTGACGAGTGCCCTCAGCCAGGTCCGAGGGCAGCTGCATCCAGGGAGCGGGAACGGCTGGGAAGGGGGAAGGGAGTTCTCCCCCCCAAGGCCATCCTGGCGCACAGAGCTTCGAGAAGCATGCCCACGCCTCCTGCATCCTATCACCTCCTCCTCCTCCTCCTCCTCCTCCTCCTCGCCCTCCGTCCTTTTCACATAGCTCGCGCCTGTCGCGGCCCCAAGCGTGTTGGTGGGGGGGAGGGGGCGGGGCGTTTCGCCTGAGACTTTCTCACCATGCATGATCGCGAAACTTGAAATTTGCAACAAATTCACGGATGGAGGGCGGACGCATTCGTCGTAAAACTTCGCAACAGCTACAAGGACTGATGGCGGTTTCGTTTCAGAAAGTGTCCCTGGCACTAGCGCCGAACACATTCGGCTTAAAAACTGGCAGCTGCTTCAAGGATTAAGGGCAATTCCTTTTCAATATGTGTCCCTCGCCTTCGCGCCGCGCGCACTTGTCTTGTAAGTCGTCAACAGTTCCATGGTCTCGTGAGGTTGAAGTCCCCGGCCTGGTGTTCTAGCACGATGCAAGATTGTCCGAAGGCGACAAGAATGTTGACTCGCGGCGTTGACGTCCCAAGAACGGTGTTCAGGATTGCCATGACGCAACAGTCACGGTTTAGGATTGTCAGGACGCACCTGTCACATTAATCCGCGACGTTGAAGTCCCAAGGACGGTGCCTTGCACGATTGAGGATTATTGTATGGTTGTCGACTGATAGGCCACTTCCCGCAATGAACGCGATTTCTTGCAGGTACCTGTGAAGAGGGAACTTGGATGGATGGCTGATTGCAATATGCTTAATGCGTCTTGGGTTTGCAAGGGTCCTCTCCCCCCTCCTCCTCCTCCTCCTCCTCCTCCTCCTCCTCCTCCTCCTCTTCCTCCTCCATCTCCTCCCTCTCCTCCCTCTCCTCCCTCTCCTCGTCCTCCTCCTCCTCCGCCCTTCCCACTCCTGCCTCTTAGGCGTGTCACTGGGGGACGTGCGCCCTCCCAGAGAGCATTCGGCCTGCAATCAGTGCGGGGCTATACGTCCCCATGGCGGAGGTGTGATTGACGAGGCGGGGGAGGAGCGAGGCACATAGAAGGAGAGAGCGGAGGAGTATGAGGAGCATGTGGAGAGCGCAGTGAAGACGGCAAAGAGGGGAAGGAAGAGGAGGACGAGTCTGAAGAAGAGGAGGGTATAAAGAGGGGGAGGAGGAGAAGGAGGATGAACAGGGAGGAGGAGGAGGAAGCAGAAGAGAAGGAGAGGAGGAAGAGGACGATGCTGATGCTGAAAGAAGATGGAAGAAGAAGAAGAGGAACATGATGAGGCGTGGGAGGATGAGGAAGAAGAGAAGAAGAGGGGGAAGCATGAGAGGGAGCCAAAGGGTGAAGAGGAGGAGGCAGAGGAGGAGGACGAGGAGGAAGAGGAGGAGGCAGAAGAGGAGGAGAAATGGTACTCCCGAACGCCTCCGTTCTGGCCTGCAGTGGGACGCCTGTGCGGCTGTTTGAATGGGGCCCTCGAGGCGTGGACCTGGCTGCTGTCAGCTGGTGTTTTGTGCTGGCCATGGCTCGCACTTTCACATTCCGAGGACCCGTATAAGAATGTGCCACCGCCTCCTCTTCCTCATGACGTCCACGACCAAGACGAACACGGGTACGACGACGACGACGACGACGACGACGACGACGACGACGACGACGACGACGGCGACAGAGACGACCACGACGAAGACGTCGACGGAGACGACGACGGCCACGACGGTGACTACGACCACGATCGCCACGACGACGATGGCAAAGGCCATCAACCACCAGCGACGACGGACGACGACGGACGACGGCGGACGGCGGCTACGAGGACGACCTCGGAGAGGACGACGACCGGGAGACGAATACGGTCACGACGGCGGGCGGCAAAGAAGGCGAGCACGGATGACGGAGGCGACGACACCGGCGGAGGCCCTCTGCCTCCGACGATGTGCGTGTTCCCAGCGCGCGGCCCCAGGGCCGGGCGTTGCTGAACGGGGCGGCGACGCCTGGGGGGAGGAGAGGCGGGCACCCGTCGTGCCCCGGTTGAGCCTCAGGGGGGCCTTTGAGGGCGCCTTCAGTGCGCAAGAGGTGCACCTCTCTTCACCCCCACACATTGATCGCCCCCCCCCCCCCCCAGTACGCAGCGCCCGACATGGATGCGCCCTGACCTTTTCCCGGAGGGCAGCTGCTCGTCTCAGGAGATCGAACAGACACACCAGGAGTTGAAACACGTCAGATCGCCGCGCATCGGGGTTCGCCGCTCCGCACACCCAAATCTGCTCAAAGCATGTCCCTGGACCCCTCGCGGGGTCCA